GATTATATCAGCCACTTGATGATAATATCAGCCTCTTGGGTCTATGTGGGTCTCTGGGTCTCTGTGGGTCTCTGTGGGTCTGTGGGTCTCTGTGGGTCTCTGGGTCTTTGTGGGTCTCCGTAGATCTATGTGGGTCTCTGTGGGTCTATGTGGGTCTCCGTGGGTCTGTGGGTCTCTGTGGGTCTCTATGGGTCTCCGTGGGTTTTACAGTAGTATCTACCGACTACAGTAGTATCTACTGACTCTATAGTAGGAACTACTGGGAGTCAGCTGTGAGTGTGAAGGGACTGGTGGCCACGGGAGGTAATGACAGGGGAGTCAGCTGTGAGTGTGAAGGGACTGGTGGCCACGGGAGGTAGTGACAGGGGGAGTCAGTTGTGAGTGTGAAGGGACTTGTGGCCACAGGAGGTAGTGACAGGGGAGTCAGCTGTGAGTGTGAAGGGACTGGTGGCCACGGGAGGTCAGGACAGGGGAGTCAGCTGTGAGAGTGAAGGGACTGGTGGCCACGGGAGGTAATGCCAGGGGAGTCAGTTGTGAGTGTGAAGGGACTGGTGGCCACGGGAGGTAATGACAGGGGAGTCATTAAGTGTCCAGCTGCAGTTGCAGCTGGTGTACAGCAGTCGGCGCTGTGTCACTACATTTGTATGAGTGAGTGCGTACGTGCGAGTGAGTGTTTGAGTTTATGTATGAGTGGGTGTATGAGTGAGTCTATGAGTGAATGTACGAGTGAGTGAGTGAGTGAGTGTATGAGTGAGTGTATGAGTGAGTGAGTGTATGAGTGAGTGTTTTAGTGAGTGTATTAGTGAGTGTTTGAGTGAGTGTATTAGTGAGTGTTTGAGTGAGTGTATGAGTGAGTGTATGAGGGAGGGAGTGATTGTAAGAGTGAGTGTATGAGTGAGTATGAGTGAGTGAGTGTATGAGTGAGTGAATGTGTGTGTGTGAGTGTATGAGTGAGTGAGTGAGTGTATGAGTGAGTGTATGAGTGAGTGTATGAGTGAGTGTATGAGTGACTGTATGAGTGAGTGAGTGTATGAGTGAGTGTATGAGTGAGGGAGTGATTGTATGAGTGAGTGTATGAGTGAGTGAGTGTATGAGTGCGTGAGTGTATGAGTGAGTGTATGAGTATCTATGAGTGAGTGTATGAGTGCGTGAGTGTATGAGTGAGTGTATGAGTATCTATGAGTGAGTGTATGAGTGAGTGTATGAGTGCGTGTATGAGTATGAGTGAGTGTATGAGCGAGTGTATGAGCGAGTGAGTGAGTGTATGAGTGAGTGTACGAGTGAGTGTATGATTGAGTGAGTGAGTGTATGAGTGAGTGTTTGAGTGAGTGTATTAGTGAGTGTATGAGTGAGTGAGTGTATTAGTGAGTGTTTGAGTGAGTGTATGAGTGAGTGTATGAGTGAGTGAGTGTATGAGTGAGTGTATGAGTGAGTGTATGAGTGTATGAGTGAGTGTGTGAGTGAGTGTATGAGTGAGTGAGTGTATGAGTGAGTGAGTGTGTGAGTGAGTGTATGAGTGAGTGTGTGAGTGAGTGTATGAGTGAGTGAGTGTATGAGTGAGTGAGTGTATGAGTGAGTGAGTGTATGAGTGAGTGTATGAATGAGTGTATTAGTGAGTGTATGGGTGAGGGAGTGATTGTTTGAGTGAGTGTATCAGGAGTGAGTGTATGAGTGAGTGAGTGTATGAGTGAGTGTATGAGTGAGTGAGTGTATCTATGAGTGAGTGTATGAGTGCGTGTATGAGTATGAGTGAGTGTACGAGTGAGTGTATGAGTGAGTGAGTGTATGAGTGAGTGTTTGAGTGAGTGTTTGAGTGAGTGTATGAGTGAGTGTATGAGTGAGGGAGTGATTGTATGAGTGAGTGTATCAGTGAGTGAGTGTATGAGTGAGTGTATGAGTGAGTGTATGAGTGAGTGAGTGTATCTATGAGTGAGTGTATGAGTGAATGTATGAGTGCGTGTATGAGTATGAGTGAGTGTATGAGTGAGTGTATGAGTGAGTGAGTGTGTGAGTGAGTGAGTGTATGAGTGCGTGAGTGTATGAGTGAGTGTATGAGTGAGTGTATCTATGAGTGAGTGTATGATTGCGTGTATGAGTATGAGTGAGTGTATGAGTGAGTGAGTGTATGAGTGAGTGAGTGTTTGAGTGAGTGTATTAGTGAGTGTATGAGTGAGTGAGTGTATGAGTGAGTGTATTAGTGAGTGTTTGAGTGAGTATATGAGTGAGTGTATGAGTGAGGGAGTGATTGTATGAGTGAGTGAGTATGAGTGAGTGTATGAGTGATTGAGTGAGTGTATGAGTGAGTGTATGAGTGATTGAGTGTGTGAGTGAGTGTATGAGTGAGTGAGTGTATGAGTGAGTGTGTGTGTGAGTGAGTGTATGAGTGAGTGAGTGTATGAGTGAGTGTATGAGTGAGTGAGTGTATGAGTGAGTGAGTGTATGAGTGAGTGAGTGTATGAGTGTATGAGTGAGTGAGTGTATGAGTGTATGAGTGAGTGAGTGTATGAGTGCGTGTATGAGTGATTGTATGAGTGAGTGTATCAGTGAGTGAGTGTATGAGTGAGTGTATGAGTGTATGAGTGTTTGAGTGTATGAGTGAGTGTATGAGTGAGTGATTGTATCTATGAGTGAGTGTATGAGTGAGTGTATGAGTGCGTGTATGAGTATGAGTGAGTGTATGAGTGAGTGTATGAGTGAGTTTACGAGTGAGTGTATGAGTGAGTGAGTGTATGAGTGAGTGTATGAGTGAGTGTATGAGTGAGTGAGTGTGTGTATGAGTGAGTGAGTGTATGCGTGAGTGAGTGTATGAGTGAATGTGTGTGTGTGTCAATAGATTTTCGTGCGTCGCGTTCGTTATTTAAACCTGCCTGCCTGCCAAGTCCGCAGACATTCGTGGGTCAAGCACCTGCAGTCTTACTTCGTGTACCTGTCGAGTCACAGAAAGTTGCTGAGTGTTTGTAAAACAGGGCAGATGTGACGTGGCATCTCTTAGGGAATCGTCGCTTCCGACTTTAGCACGAGCTGAGCATGAGTTGAGCAATCGCTTCTGCAAATAGCCAGCGACAAGGACGGGTTCAGATTGTTGGAGGCCCTGAAGCGATTATACCCCCTTGTTACTGTCACTATCACTGTCACCACTACACCCGTGTACACTTACACATACACACACCCAGGTATACACACACAAAGATAAAAAAAAATCTCCCGTATAGCCTTAATAGACTGTAGGGACAAGTGCTGTTAGCGACCACCTATGAAGGCCGGAAAGGTACACGAGGGGGTGGGTGACCAGCACCACGCCCGACGGCCTTTGTCTCCCCAGTGGCGATGTTTACACACCGCACCAGGTACTCATTTAAGGCTGGGTCGACCTAGAGGAGGCCCAGGACCGGTTCAGATAATCGTCACTGGGTGTTGGCCGTGAGCGGAAATCGAACCCGGGTCGTCAGGTTCATAGCGCAGCGCGCTAACCACTACACCACCGCTCCCCACACACACACACCCAGGTACACATAGACACACACACCCAGGTACACACACACACACCAAGGTACACATAAACACACACACACACACTGACACACACACTGACACACACACACTGACAACAACAACCGCAATTCGCCACTAAGTGGCGGTGACGTCACCACGATGCTTGTGCCAGGCCAAGTGCACCTTGAGGCCACGTGAAGTGTCGAACGCCCGCTGGCAGGAGGTCACGGGGCAGACCCAGCAGGTACCACGGGTCGACTGACCGAGATGACCGAGACGACTGGCTGATGCACCACCTGTGCCTCCTACTGTGCCAACTTGCTGTGCTTTAGCCACCCGGCGCTCCGCTCGTTGTTGTGAGCGTCGCTCCTCCGCCCTCCGTTGTTGTTGGAGGGCGACTGCCTCCAACTGTCCAGTAGCATCCTTCACGAGCCTCCTCCACTGAGGCCGATCTTGACACCGCTGGTACCGGTCATCTTCAAGTCCACTCAGCTCCACGTCCTCCTGTACCACTATCACTCCATCTCTTCTCTAGCCAGTGCCGCGCCCGTTTAGCCCCCTCGATCCGGCCGAACAAAAGCTGTTTAGGCATGCGGTGGCTGGGCATGCGGGCTACATGACTCAGCCAACGCAGCCTTGCCTGCTGGAGGAGCTCACCGATGGGACTTTGCCCAGATCTTTCAAGGATTTGTGAGCTCCTCACACAATCCAGCCTGCTGGTTAAACCCATCATGGATCGTAGGCAGGCCAGCCTAAATGTTTCTAACCGGCGAAGATGCTACAGGCTTAGTGCGGCATGGAAGCGTATTATTAAGGAATACATATTACAATTCATTATAGGGGAAACACATACTAATTAACTGATTACTAGCGTAGCATTTAATTACAATAACACACATTACAACTCATTATTAATCATAACAATTGACTGATTGCCAATCTAGTGTATAATCACAATACCCCCCCCCCACACCGCCTGAAATCGTCGCACCTGAATGGGTTAAATGATGATGTCACCCTGCTGCTGCTCTGTTTAAGACCGGGGGCAAGTGGTTGCTTCACTTTTCTGGCGAATTGCCCGATGAGGCTGGATTTAATTACCAGCAAAACGTCGTACTAAATTTTTTTTTAAATGTTGTGGTTTCACGCTTCAACACACCAGTGGGCTAAAGTAGTGAACTATTTTGTCTTTTGTCAACGTGACACTTTTTTGCTGATTGGCCGTGTCGGGTGGTGGAGGGTTACGACACATTTATAAATAACGCGATCCAACCCAAGAACGTTTATTATGATGAGAGTGGGCCTGTCGCTTTTTGTCAACCATCCTGAACACCTCCTCTGTCAGCCAGGGTCTCTGGGGACGTCTGGACTGCGTACCCAAAGCAGCCATTGCAGCTGCATGAGTCACAGTCCTAAACCTCGCCCATTTACCCTCGACATCAGGAGGAGTGGGGGACGATTTCGTCCCCAGCCGCAAGCGATGATGAAATTCTCGCTTGCAACTTTCA